ACTGACTTTTATCATTTACAAATTCGATAATCAAAATTATATATTGATTATTTTTGCCCAGTCCTAAGTAGTCGCATGATCATAAGTATATTTCATAGATTTGTGTTAGAGTACATATTATTATTTTTATAACTGTTGTTTTTACACAGTGCTTTGTATTTATTTTAGTTTATTTTATTATTTGAATTAAAACTTTGTTAATTTATCACATTTTTTCATATTCCTGTGGCACATTGAGCAGTAATTACTTATAGAATTATTTCTAATGGATAAACTGTCATAATAGTAAAATTCAATTCTTTTCTTGTCCTTATTAGCCAAGACAGCTGCAATCAAGTATACTTACAAATCCATTGCATTTCATGCAAACTAATCAAATCTTCGAGAAAAAAAATGTAAGGATATAAAAAGATTAAATTCAACAGGAGAAAAAAGGTGGTAAATATTAGCAACTCCCACCTGTCATAAACTCGATACATAAAACTTTAAAAAAAATATTTCAACCTAATTTGCTTGAATATAATCTGCAAATACACAATTCATGACAGACTTGAAATCACCCAAGGATAAATCTGATCAAAAATCTTGTAAAACACGTAATTTTTATTCTACAAAGCAGAAGTCTAAAACAAATTTGACAACTTGATGAAATTGATCACAATCAAAACTAAACCTTTTGAAATATAAAATACAAGTTATTGCCATTATTCTTACAAATGTGTTTGATTTTTAACTTGTGATGGCACAGATTGTGATGGATTTGGGTATAAGTTGAATATTTCCTGGTGTCTATGTTTGCTATTTTCTAACAAATATTCAATTTCAAACAAAGCTATCAGTGGGCGTATATTACCTTGCCTGGCAAGCTATCTTTATATGTATCATGGACACAGAAAGCAGCAATTTGCACCATTCCAATTTTTAGTCTAGCAGTTCCACTGAAGAATGTGTTTTATAACCTGACTATCGCTAATAATATCCAAGGACCTTTGCAATAATTCAAATGGTGGAAATTGTTGCCATCAGTGTCTTCGATACACATAAAATGTCAAGAAATCTCTTAAAGGTATGTTAAACTCTTCTCAGCATAAAGTCATATAGAATCATTATATACAATTCTGATATCTTTTGCAACTGCAAATGAATGGAATATAAAACTAACATGCTTGGTATCATATTAAATACATCAAATAATTTTGAAAATAGAGTTTTTGACAAACATTTAACTGTACTAACTATGTTGCCAAGATGACAGTTTCCAACCTTACTAGGATTGTTGAAATATTGAAATTACATATTGCAATGAGTATCAGATAGACAAGACAAAAACCTTCTCTAAGAACTTTCTCTAGATTCATTGTGATCCACTGTTGAGCTTAGTGAAGCGAAATATTGAAATAACAAGCTCAATATTCAATATTCTTCACATTTAAAAAAAAAACACGTACAAATTATTGCTCCTGATTTATTACAATCTTACGTTGACAGTAGCTGAGATCAGCTGTAATCTTGTGATGGTAGAGATCATGTAGCAGATTAACCTATCAGAGGTATGTTTTTCATCAACATTTCGTTTTTCCTGGTACAATATATGATTGTGCTTGTGTGAATCTTGTGTGTGACAGAGAGTGATCCATTGCTGTATTTACTATTGTCTGTTTACAGAACCAACAGGCATCAAGAAAGTGATCCATTGTTGTAATATTTTCTGTTTATAGAATCACCAGCTATCACCTAACTCTAGGTTATATTCTAGAGTGTGGTCCACTGTTGAACTATTATCTGTTTATAGAATCACCAGCTATCACCTAACTCTAGGTTATATTCTAGAGTGTGGTCCACTGTTGGACTATTATCTGTTTATAGAATCACCAGCTATCACCTAACTCTAGGTTATATTCTAGAGTGTGGTCCACTGTTGGACTATTATCTGTTTATAGAATCACCAGCTATCACCTAACTCTAGGTTATATTCTAGAGTGTGGTCCACTGTTGAACTATTATCTGTTTATAGAATCACCAGCTATCACCTAACTCTAGGTTATATTCTAGAGTGTGGTCCACTGTTGGACTATTATCTGTTTATAGAATCACCAGCTATCACCTAACTCTAGGTTATATTCTAGAGTGTGGTCCACTGTTGAACTATTATCTGTTTATAGAATCACCAACTATCACCTAACTCTAGGTTATATTCTAGAGTGTGGTCCACTGTTGGACTATTATCTGTTTATAGAATCACCAGCTATCACCTAACTCTAGGTTATATTCTAGAGTGTGGTCCACTGTTGGACTATTATCTGTTTATAGAATCACCAGCTATTACCTAACTCTAGGTTATATTCTAGAGTGTGGTCCACTGTTGGACTATTATCTGTTTATAGAAACAATAAAGTCTTAGGTTATAATTTTTTTTTTTTCTTATCATTAAAGGGAGCCGCGGTGGCTCAGTGAGTTAGATGCTTGCTCGCTAACCTGAAGGTCTAGGGTTCAATCCCGGCATAGGTCGACGTTCAGATTTTTCGACCCGGTTTCCCCTTGTCAGTGATGCAGGTGAGAAGGGCTGACATGGAAAAAGCATCTTGTCGTTCGGATGGGACAATAAACCGAGACCCCGTGTGCTAAAGGCTGTGCATGTTAAAGATCGCTCGACAGTTGGAAATCGAAAAAGAGCAGGCTAATGCACCTGTCCTGGCAAAATTTCCCTCATTACACTCTGCATGGCGTTGCCCATCTTCATTAGCCCACATGGTGCAGAAAAGTAGGATGTAAAACTCCATTCATTTCATTTCCATTTCTAATCATTAAATCATTAAAAGTGAAAAAATTTGCCTGCTAAAGGATTCTCATTTTAGCTGTCCCAGTTCTAAGTGGTAACCCCCCTTTAAAGTGAGTCATTCTGTTATAATGATTGACAAACATGAATTAGATGAGAGAATTAGTCTCGTTGAATTCTTCACGTCGTTTAAAAAATCATCCATGCTGATCAATGTTTATCAGCTACTGCATGTTGTATTGAATAGAAATTGGTTAGCACATTCATAGAGGTTGCTCAATCAATTGTCATACAACTTAATATAAAACCAAATAAAATACTCCCGTCTTAAAATCTTTAAATTACGAATTTTCTACACACTTCTAAATCTAAGGCTTTTTTTCTCCTTATCTGAAGTTAATTTTGAATTCTAAATTTGTTTTTTAAGCACTGATGATAACAGGGTTGGGAGGATCCCAAGGCAGTTGAAAATAAAAAAGGCAAAATCTCTTTCAATGAACATTTCATGGTGTTGTCTGTCTTCATAAGCTTAATCAGAAACAGAAAAGTAGGACGTAAAACTCATTTCATTTCTAATCAGCCACCCTACCATTTTCTTTCTTCAGTAAGTAACAAGATCGTAACAAGAGTAGGAAGATTAACTATTGATCCTATCTCATTGTTTTTCTCTAGTAGATCACATTCTAAGATTTATCTTCACTTTTACTCTTAATTATTCCTTTCTTTCTTCTGTCTTAAGTTTAATACTCTAGTCATTCAACTACAGGGATGTTGGTGATTATTATTTCTGATCCAATGTAGAGAACATTGTATCTTACTAAAACCCTGTTTACATTACTGAAATTATCTGTTATGTGAACAGTTCCAAGTACGCAACAGATAAAAAATTACTAGTGTAAACGGTTGAGCGTTCTGAGAACAAGTCCAACCTAGACTACCTAAGTGAGGTGGTTTCGGAACAGTTCTCAGAAAAGAACAGAACAGTTAAAATTTAGTAGTGTAAACGGTCAAGAATTTCGAGAAGAGTTCTTACGCATGGGTCTTGACCCCTTGACATGTTCTACAGTTTCTGTGAGCAGACTAATTTGCCTTTGTTAATAGAACGTCTATAGTTAACTCTTTAGTGAAGAGTTCCAATAAAATGCATCTGAGAAGAGTAGATCATTCACACTATTGTTATATATCTGTTCTAGGAACGCTCGAAATTGTAATAGTGTCAACAGTGTCTATCGCGTCCAGGTCTAGACCTCGAACTTGGTAGCATTCTAATCTAAACAGGGCTTAAATCAACACAGTTCCTTAATTAAAGAAGTTCTCTTCATAAAAAATATAATTTAAATCTGTGAACTATAATAGTTCAAACCTTGTTCATTGACACAAAAATTATCAATTATTATAAAAACATTAAAAAACACGTTAAAAATATAGTGGCACATCATCTGAGATGATCCAGAGCCTGATTGTTCTGGGCTATAGACAAAGGTTTATTTACAGATCCACACATAGGAAACAATATTTCCTATAGCTGATTTATTTCTAGTCAAAGTTTAATAGCTTTTATCAAATAACTTGACACAGCAAAAAAGTTTGATAGAAGGTTTTGACATTTTCAACGGAAAGTCAACATCTTATATAAGGTCATTGATCTATATCAATAGATTCAGTAATAGAATCAGAGTCAAAATGTCAGATGAAGAAATGAAAGTAGGTAGTAACATGATGCGTGAATTATATATACAGCCATAATGGTCATTTAATTGAGGAGGATATCAACGTGTATCTATTAATCACCATAAATACAAGTCGAGTTGTGACAAGCAGCTCTAACAAGACCACAGAACCATCAGTATATAATCTACGTTAAAACACTCAGCTCCATCTAGTCAAATCTGATAATCAGTTTCGACATGATTCGTAACTTCACTCAGCAATTTTCCCAGAGATTGAGAATAAAATCAATAAGCAAATGATGGAATCAATGCAGTGAGTAATTAGGTCGTACACAAGGGACACTGGGTAAATTACAGTGGGTCAGACATCACTATCATTTAATAATATAATACACAGATGGAGATACCAGTCACATCATAGACGTGTTGGTGATTGTATATCAGTATGAATAGATCTATAGAATAACAACATCAAATGAGTTACACAGTGTTATTTGTCACATCTTTAGGCAAAGTAATTTACTTATTATAACACATCATGTTTCTATTGTATATCAGTATGAATAGATCTATAGAATAACAACATCAAATGAGTAACAAAATGTTATTTGTCATATCTTTAGGCAAAGAAATTTCACTCATAACACAAAGTTGTGGTGTTCTTCATCTATTCATATGAATGATTTTGTTTCATTTCTATATTAAATGAGAGTTCTGACTGAGATGCTACAGAATAACTGTTTTTCAGTATTTTAGATGAAGTACATAATGCTCTTAATTACATATTATCATATCGGTCATGTTTCTTCCTAAACTTGACAGTAACATTATGAGTAGTAGAATTGATACGAGATGCTAATTAATTTACTATTATTTATATTCAACCAAACACAATCATAATACTTTACTGAATGTTTTACCATTTCTCCCCCATACCTCACCTAAAAACTTGACAAACATCCTAATATTATTTTTAACCCTTTCATCACTACCATGTGTTTTAACAGCTACAAGACTAATATGTGATATATGCCTGGACACTGTTACCTAGTAGCAATAACATTATACACTTCACTCTAAGCAGAGTTCAAATATATTGTAATGAAAAAAAGACTCGATATTTCAAGTTGAAACTTTTAGAATACCTAGGAGACACATTCCTCTACAATTAGGTGTTCAGTTTGCTTAAATAGTTTTCCTACATCTTCCAACAAGCATAATGAACTTAAAAAGGTTAACGTAAGCCTTTTACATCGTTTTCCGTTAAAAATTAAGGTTAAAACTTTCAGATAAGTTTAGAGACACAATAACTAAAATCTAGAGATAGATGTTAGTGTATAGTTTTCATAAATTTGAGCAAAAAACATTTTTTGACCTATGAAATAAATTATAATGCTCCTTTTATTGAGGTGATCAATTGTCAGATTTTAAAAACCATTAAAGCATTAGATTTAGGTCTATTTGTAAAACTAGAGAATTACTATGCTCTGGCCTGAGGTCAGCACAACCAGACATGTTTGATGGCTTGTTTCAATGAAATTGGTAATTTTGATATAAAAAAAATCTATATTCTGACATTTTGACAATGATGAAAGAGTAACCGACATGAAAATATAAGATGGGAGAAAACATACTGAACTTGTTATCATTTACATAGATTCAACACATTTATCATTTCTTATTTCATTAACTCTTTCAACACTTCAACACTGACTGGCAGGGAATATAGCATCATATACCAATAATTCCACTTAACAAATAATCTTATATGAAGTCCTCTATAAATCATGAAGCTTATATGAAGTCCTCTATAAATCATGAAGCTTATATGAAGTCCTCTATAAATCATGAAGCTTATGTGAAGTCCTCTATAAATCATGAAGCTTATGTGAAGTCCTCTATAAATCATGAAGCTTATATGAAGTCCCCTATAAATCATGAAGCTTATATGAAGTCCCCTATAGATCATGAAGCTTATATGAAGTCCCCTATATATCATGAAGCTTATATCAAGTCCCCTATAGATCATGAAGCTTATATCAAGTCCCCTATAGATCATGAAGCTTATATCAAGTCCCCTATAGATCATGAAGCTTATATCAAGTCCCCTATAGATCATGAAGCTTATATCAAGTCCCCTATAGATCATGAAGCTTATATCAAGTCCCCTATAAATCATGAAGCTTATATCAAGTCCCCTATAGATCATGAAGCTTATATCAAGTCCCCTATAGATCATGAAGCTTATGTGAAGTCCCCTATAAATCATGAAGCTTATATGAACTCCCCTATAAATCATGAAGCTTATGTGAAGTCCACTATAAATCATGAAGCTTATATGAACTCCCCTATAAATCATGAAGCTTATGTGAAGTCCTCTATAAATCATGAAGTTTATATCAAGTCCCCTATAGATCATGAAGCTTATATCAAGTCCCCTATAAATCATGAAGCTTATATCAAGTCCTCTATAAATCATGAAGCTTATGTGAAGTCCTCTATAAATCATGAAGCTTATGTGAAGTCCCCTATAAATCATGAAGCTTATATGAAGTCCCCTATAGATCATGAAGCTTATATGAAGTCCCCTATAAATCATGAAGCTTATATGAAATCATTTGATCCCCTGTATATCTTAAAACTTAAGGAAGACTTTATCATAATCTGCTTTTCAGCTGAAACAATAGGAATTTTTCTGACCTTAAGATTTGTGTTCCTAATTTTCAGTAAGTTGGGACACAATCAAGCTCACTAACCTGAAGGTCAAAGGTTCAATCTGGGGTATATTGTTAGGGTTTTTCTCAACCAAGGTCAACCACCCCCTACCCCCCTGTACTCTGTTTTCTGTTAGCCTATTCAGATGCACATCAGTTAGACTTAAAACACAATTTCATTGTATATGCTTCAGCTTACAGCATTTCTCTAATTTTGTTCGTGATATTTTTACATCAAATCTTAAGTATCTTTTTCAGTACAAAAAAAGAAAAAATACAATGATCTATCCTCAAGTAATGAGATAATGAGTAAGGCTCACAGCAGTTGTTGTAAAATAGAACAATGACACTATTTCTGTCTCTAACAAACAAAAATAACTCAAAATACAAAATTATCAGGAATAAAAAGTATTTTACTGATGTCAGCATTGTCTGGGTATAAATAGATTGAACATTGTTTTAGTTAATGTATCCTATTGACATGGCTAGGGAATCTTTTTTTCTATATTTTCTGTATTTTGGTACTTAATCAATGGTAGAAAGTTGATTGTAGTATGGCACTGCTTCTGTGTTAAGAAACATTTCTGTAGACATATGCTTAATAAAATGGACTTTTTAAAATTATTTCAGAGTGCCAAAATGAAGTATAAGCTTACTCCATCATCAACATCATACTCTAAAATCATAATTTTAACCAGAGCAATAAAATGTGAAGACTGTTTTCCCCAAAATAACTCACGAGATTTCATTGTTGCCACATATCCTGTCTGCCAGCTGCTACTGCTACTGATCCTATTAGCAGTAATTTTTCAGATTATCTGTACCTATCTGACCGCAGACTACTTTACAACAAGCCACCTTCTGAGATATACAACAAAAGCTCCTTAATTATATTTCTTATTATACTCCCATAGGACATCAAACTGATGATGGCTTTGATCTCATGAATAATTCATTTCATATCACATTATGAATCTTTGAACCGCAATTGATGAACGAATCAGATGACCTATAGATGTCTATGGTGTAACTGATGTCTATGGTAAAGATGGTAACTGATGTCTATGGTAAAGGTGGTAACTGATGTCTATGGTAAAGGTGGTAACTGATGTCTATGGTGTAACTGATGTCTATGGTAAAGGTGGTAACTGATGTCTATGGTATAACTGATGTCTATGGTAAAGGTGGTAACTGATGTCTATGGTAAAGGTTGTAACTGATGTCTATGGTAAAGGTTGTAACTGATGTCTATGGTAAAGGTTGTAACTGATGTCTATGGTAAAGGTTGTAACTGATGTCTATGGTGTAACTGATGTCTATGGTAAAGGTTGTAACTGATGTCTATGGTGTAACTGATGTCTATGGTAAAGTAAAGGTTGTAACTGATGTCTATGGTAAAGGTTGTAACTGATGTCTATGGTGTAACTGATGTCTATGGTAAAGGTTGTAACTGATGTCTATGGTGTAACTGATATCTATTGTAAAGGTGGTAACTGATGTCTATGGTAAAGGTTGTAACTGATGTCTATGGTGTAACTGATGTCTATGGTAAAGGTGGTAACTGATGTCGATGGTATAACTGATATCTATGGTAAAGGTTGTAACTGATGTACAAGTGGTAACTGTTTGGAGTCTACCATAAGAATTATGATGAAAGACACGTCTGATTTCAAAGATTTTTGCCTCAATGAAAAAAAAGCCTTGTTTTGACCCTAGTTTTTACATATAAATTGACAATTCATCAATCATGAATCAGATAACATATCAATTATGTTACCCAGCTGCACAATAATGATTTTAATTTCTTAAAATGGAGAGTGAGTGCCAGCTTAAAAAAATAACATTGATTTTATTAAGTCTAGTCTCCCGATGACAAATAATAAGTCAATATCTATTGTGAAGTTCAGAACGGTTTTACTATTAATTTTATTAGAGGGAGTAATCCGTGTTTCATGAACTGATAAAACTTTTACAAAAACAATATAATTTTTAAACCGTTTTAAATCAATTCTTTCAATTCTTCTTTTAGACTATTATACAAAATTTTAACGAATATACCCAGTAAACTCTCACTTCAATATTCATCCCCTGGACCTACACCACTTACACTACAGGGGAAACAGGGATGAAGGCCTATCTTATAATGTCTGTAATGAACCCTGGACCTATCTAGAAGTTTTTAAAGCTTTAAAGAGAATCTTCTAAACATTTGCTATAACAGCTTACTGAAACCTATAACTCAGTAAAACAAATTTAAAGGGACAGATGTGCAATTTTTTTTACCAATTATACTTCAGTCTCAGAAACAGGAATTTTTTTTAGCTAAGCTCATCAGATATAGTGTTGAAAGCTCGCCATTGAAATTGGAGCCTTCAAATCCATGTATGTCTAGAATTATTCGTGTTTGAATGTTAAAATGATGACTCATCATTTTAAGATGCTCTGTGATACGTAGAAAAGACATACAGTGAGTAAAATTTCTAGTTTCAAGTGTTTTTTAAAGGAATTTGGGGATTTTCTAACATTTCAAGTACTTCTAAAGATTATTCACATATATTCAAGACTAATATCAACCAATTTTTTAAGCTGAGTAATCAGTAATAGTGTTCACAGCTCACCATCAAAATTTGATCCTACAAATCCATGTCCAGAATTATCCGCGATTGAATGTTAAAATGATGACTCATTATTTTAATATACTTTTTGATATAGAAAAGACATATATAGAAATAGTGAGTAAAATTCATAGTTTGAAGTAATTTTGGATTCTCATACATTTCTATTACTTCAGAAGATTATTTACATATATTCAAGATAAAATCACCCCCAACCAAATTTAATGCAGAAAATAACATCAGATTATAAGTGTTAAAACAAAATCGTCACTTGTTATAAAGGATAATCAATTTTTTAACAACAAGCACTACATGAATAATAGCTGAGAGGATCTAATGTATTATCGGCAATTTGCAGATTTCCCATGATGCCCTTTGAGCTGTCAAGACCCTTGTTCATTAGGTAATATTAATGTCCCTATCAATACCCAGGGAGTCATATTTTAACTTTTTAAACTAGGGTGTTTAATCTGAATCTTTCCAAGTCAGACAAAATCTGACCAAGCTTATCTAACACTGCAGGCCAATAGGAAGATACAATGTTTCATAATATATTATAGGAAAACAATGCTGGATAAGTCCTATTCCAAAACATCACTCCACCTTAACATGGTCAATTCTTTTGGGTATCGACCGCTTGCCTATTTTCAGCTGGCTACAGCTTAGCCAAAACCTGTGATGGCTAGGGTTGGTTTGACATAACACCAGCTGGCTAGCCACAGCTTTGAGCAAAAAATACCTTTTGCACTAAGTGTTACTAATACTACATAGTAATTGCTGGCGGCTTAGTTGCAGATTTTCGGCGGCTCACACATTTATTTGGGTACTAATAGATAAAATGATTCAATGAAAATTTTCTTTTTTATGCATATTGCTGGGAAACAACTGATCTTACTATTTTCAACTTTTTTTTCTTTTCAAGAAGTTTGTTCTTGACACCAAAAAGCAAATTACTCTGGGTTATATTCCAGAGGGTGGTTTACAAGTATTATTTTCTGTTTATAGAAATACCAAACATCATCTAACTTTTCTTTCCACAGGATGATCCACTGTGTTCCTAAACCTGTGTTACAGGCTAGTCTTGATCCAGACAACATCTTCAATGTGTGTTGCAATTCAGATGAGAGTCTTTTGGATTACAAACTAAATGATGGTCCATGCTTTTTTATGATGGCAAACATCTTCTCTATTACTAACTGTTTTAGTTCAAGCATCTGTTTTATGTCATTAATTCCTCCAGTAATAGTTCTGGTTAGAATAAGAGTCTGCCATTATAATGGTTAATGGAGAAACATTGTTTTAGTTAGAACAAATGGAATCACCAGATACTTGTAATCATACCAAAGACATCTCTCTAGTGATTTCTAATTATTACTGTATACATGTACTCTCGGTTATATACAGTTCTGATATAAATTGTTTATTGTAATAGGTATGACATTGTCACATGGTGCTAGATGACCTCATTGGAGTTGTCGAAAACTTCTGAAGAGTTACCTCAACAAAACACTTGGGTAATGCCTTTATCAATTTATAGACAGTTTCCAGTAACCAGTTTCCTCAGACTAGAGTGTTTGCCCATACTCATATATTATTCATTAAAGGAGGGAATCCATAAACCAAGTGAGGGCAGGTTTGCTACAAGAGTAACGATGAAAACATGTTTTAAATTAATCATCTGGAATCTTCATTATCAGAATTTGGATTGCCTAGGGGAAACTGATTATTGCACATGTCCTCATCTATTAAACTGGACCCCTGTTGTGTTTGCTTATCACTACACTAACAACAGGTACTGTATATCACAGTTAGAATTCTGTATTGAGCAAGACTGAGTCTATGTAGCGTTGACAACTGGTAGCCCCAATGATATTACTATAGTGCATGACTTTGATTTCGCCAATCAAAGCCAATGTGACAATGGTCAACGCTTTAGATGGCATTGTGGACCAGCTTACTTGTCTATGAGGAAATATGCTATATTTCGATATAGTTATTGGACCAGTGTATATAATGGGTCATACCAGTACTTAAAATTGGGTCACTACTGAAGTACAGACACTCTCTATAAGCCATAAGCCAGTATTGATTTTGATACCAAAAATCTGTTTTGATATAATGATCTAAACAGACAGGCCTCAGGGCAGCGGCAGTAAATTGGAAAACTGTGTCATCTACAGCCTATTAGTTGTAAGCTTCTTGAGATGTAGTCCAAGGAAGGTTGAAGATGCTGACTATTCCAAATCACTGATGCCATTGAGGTTTTCTGCTTCAATAATCTAAAAACAAAGACCTCAGCATTGCCAAACCATGTCTTCCTTGGCCCATTAGCTTTAAGTTCAAAGATATCCATTATGAAAAGTATTGTGATGACAGTTTCTGAAGTTGCAGTGCCGCTCTCAGTATCCACCAAGCTTACAATATGGTTTATACATGTTTATACATGGTTTATACATGTATATATTTATTGATATTGATATAGCCTATATATTTGACATCTTCCTCATCTACTCTGGTAGCAATTGCTTCAAACACTATACTTTTCTATATTTTAATTATTTGGGTTGAACAAAATGGGGATTGATAATGCAATAAATAACCCATATTTGAATAGTCAATGACCGTAAGAAGTCTGACAAATTCAATAAGACAACCAAAACATTCTATAGAAACTAGGTGACTAATTCTATCATTCAATCGACTATTAATCTAGAATCATATCTGACATTAATATGAATTAATGTGGTCACGTTCCCGCCTAAATTTTACACCACTGCTCTAAATTTGGCGCCAAATTTTGTCACTATGCAACTGGTTTCCAGAAGACAGATATTTCTGATATTAATGAATACACAAATCTCTACTCACCAAGCAACTTTCACTACGACTCGATTCTTCTTATACGCTTTCTTTCACAAATCATCCATTATTAGGCCATCTTCTTGTCGTCTGACTATAGAAAAGACGCGCGCTTTCTCTTCAACTAGCAGGCGACCTATTCCGGTAATCAATGGAACTTCTCCTGGCTATTTTCT